AACAAAGGGTATATAACAAAGTATTGAGATGAACTTTTGTTATTGACCAAATACTTATTTTCCACCATCATTTGCAAATAAATTCTTTAAAAATCAGACAATGTGATTTTCTGGATTCTTTCCCCCCATTCTGTCTCTCATAGTTGAAGTTTACCTAGGATGAAAATTACAGGCCTCTCTCATCTTTTTAAGTGGGAGAACTTGCACAATTGGTGGCTGACTAAATACTTTTTTGCCCCACTGTATCTCTATAGAGGAAATATTTTGGGTGTGTATCAGAGTTCCTGCTTATCTCTCACATACAGTGAGATCTGATATTGTGCAAACAAGCAGTGAGTGCCAAGCAGCAGACACACCCCTGTGTGAAATGTATCATTCAGGTCATGAAACATTAAGTTGACACAGGCGTTAATTATTACAGCTGATTTTTGAGCGGCTTATTTGCAATGAATTATATGTCTCTTGTTCTCAAGTAAACAACCACTTAATACCTGACTGGTTAATATACATCTGGTAAGGTTTGTTGTTCTTTTTTGTGTTTAAAATGTAATTTTTTTGGATGTGCTTAATGTTATATAGCAGTTATAGAATAATCTGGTAAAATCGAAAGAAAAGAAGAAGAAAATAAGCCATTACTTATTCTTACTCACACATGTTTAACTGAACTATGTCTATACTGGGCCTAATGCCTGAACTTGACTCTTATTAATCCTAATGAAATGTTTTTTTTTGTTCCAGGTTTTTAAGGGATAGAGTTTTCACGAATTGTATACCTGATCTAAATCATTATTGAATGATCCAAATGTAGCAAAACAAGATTTTTTCAAACCTGCTCTTCTTCTTTAATGTTTTAGTATCTCGCATTTTCCAACAGTTTTCGAAAAAGGGAAGACAAAAATTCAGACAAACGGGTGACACGACAAATACAACAAACTTAGATGTATTGTGTCAGGATAAAAGGTTGAATCTTACACAATAAGTACTACTAAAAAAAAAATCTGTTCACTTTTATACACAGACCTTCAAACAAGGGGCAGAAGTGGCGCCAGCAGGTGATACATCCTTGAGATGTGTACTGTCCCATGGCCGTCTCCAGGAGGAACATGGGTATACCACATGAGAGCAGAAACAAGACGTATGGAACCAGAAATGCACCTGTAAAAAAACATGAAAAACAAATACTGTTTCCCCTTTGAATCTGATAAAGAGCCACACTACACATGATCATCCCTGTTTTTGTTTATCCTTGTTTTGAAGCTCTGAGACTTTGATATCTTATGAAAGAGAGTGTTTACACAATCAATGTTTTAACATCAAGAATGTTATTCATGTCTTTTATAGTTTTGTCCTTTCCAGGAAAACATCTGGTAACCACTAGTGGGCCACGTGGGATCCTATAGTATTTATAACATAAATCTAAGAGGAACAAAAAGAAATTTGACACATATGTGGCTTTAAAAGATCCCACACTGCTGTAATGTGGCTGCAGAGTTTAAAGAGGCATAGCAAGAATTTCTAACCAATTACATTTATAATGCTGTTTATTTTATTGGCTATCTTCCAAAAAAGAACACAAACAATGGTCTCCTTGTTGTTGCCAGAGTTGCTTTCAGTTACAGGAAAAAAACAAGTTACTGACTACAAAAACCTGCTTTGAATATCGCCTGAGCAATTCCTTATCAGCAAAATCTATTTTAACGTCACAGCTCTTTTTCCTCATCCCTTGACATCACTTTGATTGGGTGCAGCAGTTCCACTTTGCGGGAACAGGAAAAGTATGTATAATTTTTGTAGTTTGGAAATCCTGCTTACCTCCCCCATTTTTGTAGCATAGATAGGGGAACCTCCAGAGGTTTCCCAGCCCAACAAGGGTCCCTGCTACGGCCAGAAGAAACTCCACCTTGTTTGCCCATTGACCTCGATCCAGAAGCTGAGCCTTCTTCAATTGACTGTTATCCTGCCCAAGCATGTCAATGCTGTTCGCTTTGTGCAACTCTCTTGACATGTGCAAAAGAGGTAGGAGATTAAAATAAATGTCCCTCTTTCCTCCACATTAACAGGAAAAAGGACTGTCAAAGCTGTGTAGCTCTGGGTTATGCAGACACAAACCAACTCAGCTGTTTCCTCATGAACTTTGTTTTTTTTTTATTTGTTGAATTTGTTAATCTTGTGGGATTATCACGAATGGAAAGTTTTCACAAGCAAGTGTTTATCAGAAAGCTGCACTTATCAGAAGACATTTTAGAATTAAAGTGATGCATTTAGCAGCCCAGTGCAAAACAAAAAAAGGTACTTACCCCTCCATCACAAAGCCCCCTCTCCAAAGAGTTGCTTTCAGCAACAGCAAACTGATCAGTATTCTTCTCAGCTGGGTGCACCACAGGATCTCTACACAAACAACATGTCATGAGCAGAGCCAGAATGAGAAACAATGTAGCTATGGTTTCCTCTGGCCCCTCTATTACCTAATTATCCGTCGGATTGGTCTACCCACCATGCCGTCTCACTTGAAAAAGTGGTTGGCTCTGACAAAGGTCCAAGGTATACTACTTCCCTGCTGTATTTTTCCACTGAGACAGAGGCAGATTGAGTCATCAACATTAGCAGTGGCTAACAACTAAACCAAAGCAGCTGAGACTGTTATATTAGTGAAAAACAGGCTGCAGTTATTTGTAGCTTGAGCATATAGACAAAGAGACATGTTATAGATATTGTTGTTCAGGTCTTTCCCATGCATGGAATCCTATTACTGCTCAGCTTTGACATGTACATATGCATCTCTTGAACTCCTTCTATATCCTTGCAACATTTGCACATCTTTATTCTCAAACTACTAGGGCAAACTATTATTTATTTAGTTTTAACAGTATTTTTTTTTTTTTTAAATATTACTTATTAACATTATTCCTATTTTTAGTTTTATGTTATTGACTTATTTGTAGTTTTTATAGTCATCCACTTTACTGTACTTCTCTTTCTACTGTACCTTGGCATCAATAAAGCTTCCCTTATCTCAGCATCATAAATGACATCCAAAATAAAGACTGCGCTGTTGCGATAAGACTTTTTAACACTTTTACAGTAGTTGATTATAGGGAAACAGTAATGTGTTGCATTTAAACAAAGATAATAAATGGATGGATTTCATTTTTTGTTTGTTTATAATGCTTTAAATTACAATATACTGCATATGTTATCCAGTTTAAACATTTAAGCTAAAGTTACTACTAAAGTTACAAGTAACAGCTTGTATATTTGAGTGAATGTGTTAGCTGCAGATGAGAGAGCAAATCTTGATACTCTTCTAGCTAGACGCACAGTGCGCTGTAATGGACATGATAAGAAATAGCTTGAACTCAATGATCCCCTGTCCTTTCCTCATCAGGTCATCATTTTTAGTGATCCAATACTTTGTTTTATGACCAAAAAAAATGCATTTTCAACCAGCCCTATTATAATTTGTGTTAATTGCTAATTATCAAAAGTAAGCATGCTAACAAACGCTAAACTATGGTAGTGTCCATTGTAACCAACATTACTTTGGCTAAATATCAGCAGGTTAACAATGACACTGATCAAGCCTACAAGCTTACATTAGGATTCATTTAGAGTTGTGTTTCTGGCCACCTTGTGAATTTAAGTATAATATTAACTTGCTGATAGCTCAGTTGTTGATCTCCAAATACTCCACCAGGGAAATTATGTTCACTGCTTGTTGCTTAAGTGAACCAAAACAGCAATGTTTGGCTGAACCAATAGGCTGAAAGACGCTGTGAATCTCAGACATTTGTATTTTCAATGTTTTCTAGTGTACGATACTGCAAGACAAGGATTTTAACCAATAAATCACTAGGAGCGTAATTAACATAATGGCTAGATAGGGCCATCAGCAAAGTTAGATTTCAAAAATAACTACCGTTTATATTCTAGCTGTCTAATGTAAAATAGAGAAACTAAAGCATAACCTATTTGTTTTATATTAAATCTCTTCTCCTTTAAATGTACAGCCCCGCCCAAACTTCCTGTCACATGTATTTGCCCAGCCACTGTTTGTAGCCAAAACTCAAAGTGGGGAAACTGGAAATGTCAGATGATCATATTTCAGGGTATAGCGAGATTCATGACACCATATGCAGGCATTGTCTATCATCCTGTTTTATGTTACAAAAAAATGAATTATTAAGGGCTCTAGTTAAGATAGGGTCCTTCAGACTTAACATTAGGGATGGCAAGTATAGAAACAATAAAAGCTCTGCTTCATTTGTGAGGCTTCTCCTTTGATACAATTACTCAATAACGATAAAACAAGACAGACATATGAACACAAGACAGCTACTATTTAAGGCATATATTTAGTTTGCTGTACATCTCTCGAGCTAACCACGACCATGCTCTCTGTCTGTACATCAAATCATTACAATTGTTTACACACCAGCAGACACTAATTACATGCTCAAAAGAAGTTAATATTCAGCTTAAAAAACTATTGTGGAATAAAATCACAATTTAATTTCTGAGTTGAGCTCAAATGGAAAACATGATTACATCCACTTTGATTATAAGTAGTATATCCTGGGCAGGTAGTTGAGCTAGACAGCTGTAGACACTACTTTGAAAAGTGTTCACACAGTAACATAACTCCTCTCCTCAGGGTACAGTTATCCATCACAAAGCACTTTGTCTCAGCTGCTGGGCTGGAGGATGAATGACTGACCACAACGGTGTGGGTATGACACGCATCTAAACAGGTCACGTCTGTCTTCAATGTTTCTTGAGATATTAATAAATACACCAGAGCAAACAAAGCGTTTCCGCTCTAAGTGATCAGGTTTGATCAGCCCAGAATGGACTGGTGTTCGCATATCTGTGTTGAACTGACCTGTGTGTTAAAGGATTAATAGTCTTGTTCTGTTCTGATTGTTAAACAGCCTGTTCTGGTATATTCTACAAAAATATTTAGCAAATACCTTAAAAAAATAGCTTGTAAACCTTGTAATACAAGTTACTGAAGAGGTGCATGATCCTGGGGGGGAAACCTTGGTTTTACTGAAATGCATCTATTGATTCTTTGAGGTTTGACCTAATGAACAAAAGAGACACTGTTTAGTGCGCAATAACATATTTTCATAGCTTCATTTTAATATTAGAATTACATTTACTTTTACATTTTGGACAAATCCACACTATAATTCAGGGTAAAATTCACCAAATGTCAGGCTCGCTTTGTTGTGGGACAGGGTGGGATGAAGAGTCAGATAACATATCTGTGAGGAATGATTCAAGAATGAAAATGATCCAAATGTTTCTTTTTGACACTCCAACAAATGAAGCAAATGTTTTATATTCACTGCATAATCATTTATAAGCAATGGGTAGAACCACAGAAACATACAACAAAAATGTTGGCGACAAAATAAAAAATGTTTCCCTCTTTCAGCAAAAATATTTAGCAAGATTCTACTTTCAGATGTGCATTCATATCACAAAAAGAGTCTACAACAGCAGCGAGACTCGCATCCTCGAGGTCAATGTTTTTATCATGCTTGAGCATATTTGGCACTCAATTTGAAAATTGATATAATAGTCACAAAGATAGGCCAATGCAGACTGTATGCAAATGCACAAACATGTACAGCTCAGACCTGGGCATATGCATCACCCTCTGGTGGTGATCACATCCTCATACCAGACAAAAACAAACAAGATTTAAAAAAACATATACTAATAAAGAGATATTACAGTTTTCTGATACTTTCAGTATTTTAACAGAGATATATCTCAAAGCATGGGCAGGAAGTTGAGGTTTTACAATGTCACTAATGATGTTCTGTATTAAGAGAAGAAGATGGAGATGATAATGATGATGTTGATGAAGATGATGTGTAGCACTATGGTGCAAACCGAGTTGCTGGCCTTTGTTTCTGTCCTTACCATATTTTTGTCATTTGATTTATGTAAAAAAATTGGAATTGTTACAAATCAGAAAAAAAAGATCTGAAAGGAATTTTATTTTCACATACTTCACCACTGAGAAGGCAGCTGATGAGGAATCATGCTGTGCACCACAGCCACGTGACTTTATAATGAAAAACACACTGTAATGCACTCATCATTTATGTTATTTGCTACAGATCAAAGTGACTTAGCACCTTTTCAGTCACACTGAGTTTGGCTTTTTTCACTGTATCCCCTAAATCGATTGTACCAAAGACCTTGACGCATGTAATCTCCAAAAATTAGAACTCATTGATTTTTTTGCTACAAACCCTTAAGGAATAGATTAACATTTTTCTCCATCTTGCAAATACGAATGATAACACTGACATTTGGAATCAATCAAATAAAAAATGTTGTAAACAATTTGATGTAGAAGTAGGTCTTGATACATATTTGATCAGTATTGATATAAGTATTTGTAAGCCTTATTGTTGATTTAATCATTTGCTTATAGAGGAAAAACCTTTCTACCAAGACTGTCTTTTCTTTCTGTTAGCAGCGTGTTTCCTGCCGAGGAATTCTTAACGGTGACATTTCCATGTGAATGTGTACTTGGGGTGACAGAGAGTATAAAACCAGATATAACATGATTTACGAAAAAGTCTTGCGAGACTGGCTGGCCAATGAACACAAGGTGCGCAATTCGAGGGTTAACACCCACCCTGACTTTTCCCCTAATTCCTGTCTTTAAGTTATCCCTCTGTGAGCTGAACCCTATATTTAGCAAAGAAACAGGAGTGACATTGATTTTATCTAATGCATCAAGAAAGCATGTTTCCGAAAATGTGCAAACATTCGTCTAAACTGACAACATTTTGAAAATACAGTATGGTGTAAAACAATCAGGAGTTGGCAATACAATTTAAAGTATGAAATACAGCTTGAAGCGTAAAACTACTTTGACTGAAGACTATTGGATTTGTCAATCTGGAGACGTTCAACAGACGGTGTTTTTGTTCTTTTAAACAGGCCGCACTCACAACCAGCGATGAAATGTTTCTCGAGCTTGAATATGAAAGGCACAGTGAGACATTCCTTGATATGGACTACATAGCTTCATGTTTGTACAGTAGACACAGAGCAAGCCCTTGTGTTCAGCAACCCATTCCATAAATTCAGTTTGAGGAACTTAATGACAGAAGTTGCCATCTCTACTTGTTGCTCCTTGCCCTGCGGATACCCATGAGCTCTGCTTAATTAATCTCAGAGAAAGCCGTTTGAATAACGCCTTGAGCATGAAAAAAGAAGGGTGTGAGATAGCATCAACCAAGCCAATCACAATGAGTTATGAGATGGGAGTGCACTTGATTTGAACTCAAGTGAAATGTCACATTTCTTTGAAAAACAATTATTTAACTATATATTTCGATTACTTTCAGTAAACATAGGAATCCGTTAATGATGCTGTGATCACTGTTAACATGTTTGGGACGTGGTGAGGCTACTGCGTTATAACAAAGATAGTTAGCACATTTCAACATGGAATTTTTATAAAAGACCATAAAACTACATGTAACAATATTCTGAGAAACTAGATGAAACACTTTCTGATTCTTGTAGGAAAGATTGCCACTGATTTCAAAGGTTTAATACAATAAAATGTAATTGGATGGCACTGTTAGTGTGAGTTTAAGCAAACACAGTGTCAGACAATCAAAGAAAAAAAACAAGCATCTTTTTTTTTTTACTTTCAAAGATGAAATTAAACGTAAAAGTAAACATTGTACCTGAAAAAAATATAAGACTGCTGACTCACAGAAGAACAGGCGATTAAATACATAAAGCCCACAGTTTTATAGACTACTATTTAAATGTCACACTTTACACATTGGTCTGATTTGAAATCCACAAAAAAATAATTCACTTATTATTGCAAAAATGTAAACATCCTTCGAATGTATAATGACAATATCTCTGCAAATACAGTCATAAATCTCTGCTTGAAAAAGGGCTTTTTCTTATTATAAGAGGCTTATTTCTTTAAATGTCATTTTAAAGTATGATGATCAAACCAAAATACAAATGATCAACCTTCGATTTGGGGTTATTTAAAGCTTCTGTGGGGAAGTGTCACATTGTTGTTGCCATTAAACAAGAACGGCTAAAATAAGTCAATACTCAATTGCCAATTTAGTTTTTTCGCTTGTCAATTACATTTAACATTCTTGTCAATAAAATATTTTGTGATTTTGGATTGTTTGTCACACAAAACAAGCAATTTCAAAGACATCACCTTGGGTTTAGGACCCAACATTTAACCAATAAATCCACAAAGAAATTACGAGGCTATTAATTAGCACATGAACATATTTGTAATATATTGGATAGTTTGAAAACCACCAAGCACAAACACCTGCTGGCTGCATCTTATTTATGAAGATTTCATACATTAAAAATGTATTATCTATAGATCAGGAAACTGCTGTGCATTATGGGACATGTGATTGACTGAAAAAGTCAACTGAGATTTTAACTTTCATACCGTATGTAATTTTTCTAAATAAATGATCGATCAGAAGCAAGAAATCCTCTTTGATTTTCACCTGATGTCCCACAGAAACCATAAAACCCTCCTTATCAGAAGTTGAGAATTTGTATTTGGGTCAACAATCTCTGCAAACTACAGCTTAATGCCACAATCTGAGAATCTAGAACATTTGGCCTTCCTCAGTCAGCTGAAAGTATCCCCTTGTTATGAGCACTCGACAAAAAGATGACAGCATCAGTGCGCCTGAGCCCCTCCACTGCCACACAGCCAGTGTCAAGAAAACAATTGACAAAATTAAATATTGGCCAAAAGAAACATTCTCTGAAATGGTACATTAGATTTTTCTTCTGCTCAGAAGACAACAATGCTACCCCTATTAGCAATTAAACAACATGGTAAAATATCTGACATCGCATAGGTTCAAACACACAAGCTTTCATTTTGACGAGTCGCTGTAGCTTAAACGGGCTACTGTTAGTATGTACATGTAGCAGCATAAAACCACCCTGGCTGTGATTATCAGACTACAAGATTTCCATTCTTATATCTCGCGCCCAAATGGCTGTCGATGTGGATGAGGTGGAATGTGCAGGTTTTGTAGTTTGAATTTATCCTTTAAAGTTGGATTTCTTTCTTCTTCTTTTTTTTAAGTGTGTCTCCCGACCTCTATAACCTCATCATGCCACTCTGTCTTATTGTTTTCTATAAATCCTAATGGCACAATTGATTTTATTTATCATACAGTTTGAAAATAAGTTTTGGCACTTAAAATATAAATACAGTCTTCCTTTTTCTTTTATATATAATCAAGCACAGTTATTACAGCAATACACCAGAGCCCAGTGATAATTTGAGGTGAAACTTTGGTCTCTGTTTTACCAACTGGATTACAAAACGCTGGTCGTCACATGGATAACAAAATTATTACAATTGGAAATAAAAGAATGAATAAATAAATAAATATCTGACTATGGTTGATAAATAGCCTCACAAAAATCTTCACTGTAGACTTGATAACTCTTTAAAAAAACACACACCTGATAACTGACAAATTATAGATTCAGCTCTTTTTATGTGAGGTTACAGCTTAATGCCACTATTTGAGGTTGTTGATGTCTCCATCAAAATACGTAAATAAATCCCATCTACGATGCTGACTAAGAATGATGTCCATGAAATATTTGGCCCCATGCTTTTGGTAAAAAGGACACGATCGTTTTAGTGGCCTAGGGTCAAAAGTGCAACGTGACAAGCGTAAACCATGTGAACCCCCTGCAGGTCTGGGATGATGTGCGGGGGGGGGGAGGGGGATTGAAGATGATATGCTACCTTTTTATTTGCTGCATGTGGATAGGAGGGAGCCAAAAGCTCGTTTAATCCATGTGTGCTACTTTTACCATAGTTTAGAATAATTCTGCAAATATCACCATCTCTTTTGTCCATTTAATCCAGTTTTTCTTGGACTGGACACATCCATTCCTTAAAATATGATAAAATACAATTCCATAGGATTGTGTGCAAAATGCTCTTTAGGCATATAGTATCAAATAATGGTCTCTTCTACTAGCCACAATGTAAGACTTAGATGCTTGTGATGAGGTATGAATATTGGCCAGTACCTTGGAGGAACCATTGCCCTTTCCCTCATGCCAACAACTACTCTTCTTCTTCTGTGAAAAGAATCAAATTAGTGACTCATCATATTTAAGTAAAAACCACATGGATGTAGAATACTTAAATGATATAAACACTAATGTGTGTGAGTGGAGATGGGTTGATTAATTTAAATTTGCTAAAACAATATGGCAATGACTGCTTCCGCTGAAAACAGAGATCTCTGCTTTAAGTCATAGCCAAGCACAAAATCATATTTATATTTATGATTTTATGCTTATGTATAAATATCCAGCAAACCGTATTTGCAGTCAAAACTGCCAATTTCTTGAGAGAGCTTCACACCACATATCTAATAAATAACACAGAATAAAATGGCAAATTCTCCTCAGAGATTTCTCATTTCCTTTTATATTCACAGAAGTTTCTAATTAGGTACCTGTACTGTATTAGTCAGCCCGACAGTTGAATGGATGGATGACAGTGAAGGGTCCAGTGTGCTAAGATGAGGATAAGCCTTCATCCGTCTTCGTCGCTCCTCTTCAGTTTGAACACCGTTTACAGAGGCAGGTCTGTGCTGTTGTGGCGAGTCTTTCTGGAAGTGCCATCATCCCTGGGCAGAGCTTTCTGCAGGTTGGACATAGCAGCGGTCTTCTTTAGGTCAATGACTGCGTAGCATTCACTGCGCCGGGGTGCCTGTGGGCCACATTTTTTGGGTGGTAGGCGCTGGTGCTGTGGCTGTGGCTGTGGCTGGGCACCCCCACTGCTGAGGGCTTGGCAGGGAGGTTCTCCCTCTAGGTCCACCTGGATGTAATTCAACTGCCGCGATGGAGGCATGTGGCCGTGCTCACAGCCTCCAACCCCTGACCTTGACCGTCCGCGGAAATCAAAGCTAAATATTCGCCCCCCTCTGTCTGGCTGACACGACCGCGGATGCGGGGGGAAAGCGTGTCGAAGCCGGGGCGGCTGGACCTGCTCTGTGTTGACGTAATTCTGCAGGGCGTCTCTATGGATGCCACGACCATCCTGGTGGTACCCATTGGGTGTCCCTGGGCCTTCTGAGAACTCATACTCATCAAAGTCTTCCTCTTCCTCCTCGTATTCCTCCTCATCCTGCTCATCATCTTCCTCTTCCTGTTCATCATCCCGTTGCAGAGCTCTGTACTCCCACACCGGTGGTAGAGAGGGAAGGTTCTCGTAGTTGAGCAGAGCTGTCCGACGATGACCTCCGCCCATGCCCCTCTCACAGGGGTATCCCTGGGGGGGCAGTGACGAGGGGCCGAGGGCGTGTGGGTGCAGGAGGGAGTGGGTGTGACTGTCCCCGGTGCTGCTGCTGCTGCTCGAACCCACAGACTGCGACACGCTGCTGGGACTCAGCCGCTGCTTCCGGACGCTCCTCAGCCCGTTGATGTTCTCGTAGGTGAGCTCGCCGCTCTGGCAGCTGTCCGTGTGCTCCAGGTCCGGGTGCCGGTGTGTGTGGTGATGGAAATGGGGATAGGAATGAGAGTTGCACATGTGCATGGTGGGCTCGTCTCCCTCCGTCTCTGAGCCTGTGGCTCCCTCTGCTGGCTGAAGGCTGTGAGGATTGTGGCCATGCCTGTCCCTCTCTCTGTCCCTCTCTCTCTCCAGCAAATGACGCTGAGCCGGAGTAGGGCCCAGCATGAATTTGACCTCCTGCGAAGATGGCTGTAAGAACACCTGAGGGTCATTATGCTCCTCCAGGGGACAGCACCGCAGGTTGGGCTGCGGATTTCCTTGCACCCCGACAGGCATGGCTCCTCGGGGTGTTTCAGGGAAAGCGTTCGGCCGCACCTCAGGCAGAGAGTGCACACAGTGACGCATAGAGAGATCCCCCTCCATACTAACAGTATTTACATAGGTGTGGGTCTATTGAGGGAAATACAAACAGTAGTAAGTAAAGTTGTGAACTACCACAAATGCAGTGAACTTTAGGTAACAAGAAGAGGCCTTACCTGGTCTTCCAAACCCATGAGACCATTTCCGTGGTCGTCAGCAAGAGAGGGTTGGGAGGATTCCCCTCTGATTGGATAACCAGGGTATCCATTAGGAAAAGCCTGAACAGGGAACGCTGGAGCTGAAAAGTATTAACATAAGTAAGTATAGCTTAATTTATGTAAGACTTCAATCAATTAATTAAGTAAAAATACAAAACAAAACACAGAACAATGAGACAAACCAAACAAGAACAAATAAAAACATAAAACAGGGATGAGATCTGAAAAAGACCTGTCTATAAAGACTGGTTTTAGAAGACACAGAGGGTCTAAAGCACTGGTTCTCAAACTTTTTCTGTCAGGCCCCCCTTTGGAGGAAAAAAAAAGTCGGGCCCACCCAACACAAATAGTCACGTAATGGGCCAAGTTAACATTTATTAAAATACATCAATATGAACGTGAGCATTCCTTTGCTAGAACAGTGATAATAAAACAATGCTCCATAAGTCTGTGGTCAAAAATACATAATACAATTGTGAAATCCCTTTGCTAGAACAATAAGTTATAATACTTTGCAATCTGTGCAAAAAAATGAAAAGAAAGAAAATGCTGATATTTGGCAAAGAAGTGTGTCTTATCACAGCATTAGTGGCTGCAATGAGCCTGTTTTGCACTGCACATTTCTTCAAAACCGAGTTGCAGGCTCAGTGGCAGTGCCAGAGATTTATTTTGGGGGTGCTGTAGGGTAGCTTGACGTTGAGTTGAGTTTTGTATAACTATAATGATCATATAAACGTATGCCTCGGAAATAATTGTTTACATTAATCGTGACCAAAAACGTTTGAGACCCGGCCATTAGCTCGCTAGCACCAGAAGCTAACAACAACGATTTCCGGTACCGGTGAGCTCTCTTTCTCTCTCTCGCTTGTGCACGCATACAAAATGGCTCGTTCCACACACACACAGAGCCGAGCTTGAATGAAACACAGAGACCCAGACGTACTTGTACTGTATCATATTATTTTCGAATCAATAATCTTTCAAATTAGTCTGAAGCATATTGGGGCGCGCCCCCCACTTTGAGAAA